AGAGGTGGCTGCATCTCAGAGCTGTGTGAGGGGTCCCGCTGTAAACAGCTTGTGTCTTTGCACAGCTCGGGGTTGATCTCTGCATCAAGTGGCTTGTGTCCGTTTCCATCCCTGTCTGAGTTGCTCTATCTCCCTACAGGAAAAGCCCAATGGAAACCCAGTAACCCCAACGCTTCAGCTGACAAGGGGAAATTCCCAGCGGCTCCTTCCTCCAGCCTCGGCCCAGCGGGACCCGAGGTAGCTGGGATCTCAGACCCCTGCGTGCCACTACCTGACTCCTGATGTGCAGTGACTTGGCTAGGACTGATACCCATTCCTAGCTGCACAGAAGCCCATGGAGAAACTGCACCCTTGGCAGCAGCTGGCTCCATCTTTTACAGAAAGGGCTGCTGTGACTCAGTTTCCCTCCACCGTGGTGGGGGGAAGAGTCGGTGCATTGTGGGGGGCCGGTGTGTGAAATCTGCTGTTTCTCACCCTCTGGCAGGTTCTTCACAGTGGCCCCACTCAAATAGAGATGAGTTATGTGTGGCTGAAAAAGAATGGTAATTTCACTTCCACCTTTTCACCACTGGGAGGCTGTGACTTTCCCCTGGTGTTATCTGGACCGGTGACCTGCTAGGTTACTCCAATCCTCGACTCTGGGAGCCAGCCTTACCCTGCTCTGCTGTGAGAATCCCACTCCCGGGCTGTTCCCACACAGCCTCTGGCATGTAAGCTGCTCCCAGCTGTGTGAGTGAGCACTTTTGGCCGCTGCTTGGATTGGGCAACCGAATGACACTAGCCAGTATCTCCATGAGAGTCTCTGACACGTTTCAAACCAAACACACTGCTTCAGGTAGAATAAACAAATCCATGTATTAACTACAAAAGATAGATGTTAAGTGATTATGGGTCAAAGCACAAGAAGTCAGATTTGGTCAAATTACATGAAAATAAAACTCAGTATAAGCTGATTTTAACACTTTCAGTGCTCTTACAAACTTTGATGCTTCTCACCCCAGGTTGGCTGGTTGTTCTTCTGCCAGGCTCTCCCCTTTGATCAGCGCTTCACTTGCTTGGTGGTGATGGCTGTAGATGAAGGTGGAAGAGAGAGGAGGAGCACGGCAAACGTCTCTCCCTTTTATCATGTTCTTTCTTCCCTTTTGGTTTTGCCCCCCCCCCTTCAGACTCAGGTGAGCATTACCTCATCGCAGTCCCAAACTGACCAAGGGAAGGGGGGTGACTCACTTGAGCGTCCAACAGATTCTTTTGTTGCTGCCTAGGCCAGTGTCCTTTGTTCCTGTGAGGCTGGGCTGCGTTTGTCCCATACATGCCCGGATGATGGGTGAACTGCCCCTCTGCTCCTGGAGAGTTGTGTCTGGGCCTCTGCTCCTGGAGAGTTGTGTCTGGGCCTCTGCTCCTGGAGAGTTTTTGCATGGGCTTGTGTAACAAGGTCCATGACCCGCCCCTCTTCCTGGGGCCGCTTGCTGCCCCCAATAAGGCTCAGAGAGCATTCAGGGTTGTACAAGGTTCTCCCACCAGTGTCTATCTATATACAAGCTATACAGGATTAGTCACCTCCTTTACAGACAGAATCAGCCTTCAGCTAGGAGGCCTCCAGTTCCCTCCCTGACTGCCCCCTGCCTCCTTGCTCCCTCCCAGCCTTTATAGCCCTTGGCTTGTCAGGCCAGCAGGTTTTGCCAATCCTCAGGCTGGCATCAGGCCTTTTCCATCAGCCCCAATCTGTTTTCCCTTACTGGAGCTGACTGGGCAGAGGCTAATTTGGTGCTTTTGCACCAGCGCCTTGCTACAGCTCGTTTTAAGCCAGGAGGACACATTTTCAGCCTCATAACTACATACATGAAATTACAACCTATTACAACAATGCTCAGTGCATCATCAGCCTTCTGAAGACACCCAACTTGACAAACTTTCCACTGGATACCACACAATCATATTAAAAGGATGAACATGGGGGTGCAGGGTGTTTCCCCAAGGTACGGAGCATAACAGATTGGGTAACAAAATGTCAGATGAAATTCACTGTTAATAAATGCAAAGTAATGCACATTGGAAAACATAATCCCAACAATACATATAAAATGAGCTGTTACCACTCAAGAAAGAGATCTTGGAGTCATCGTGGATAGTTCTCTGAAAACATCAACTTCCCTTCACCAATATTATGGCGCATACAGCACGTGGCTATAAGCCTAGGAATATTGTCATTGGCCATGTCCAGCTTCTCATACAGGCATCGCCAGCAGGCTTTTAAACAGCCAAACGCACACTCAACAGTCATTCTGCATTTGCTCAGCCTGTAGTTGAACCGCTCCTTGCTGCTGTCAAGTTGCCCCATGTATGGCTTCATAAGCCACGGCATTAAGGGGTAGGCAAAATGCCCAGGATCACAATGGGCATTTCGACTTCCCCTACACGGAACTTCTGGTCCGTGAAGAAAGTCCCTGTTTGCAGGTTCTTGAAGAAGCCAGTGTTTGAAAAGATTCATGTGTCATGCACCTTTCCAGACCAGCCTGTGTTAATGTCTGTGAAACGCCCATGATTATCCAGAAGTGCCTGGAGAACCATAGAGAAATACCCCTTGTGATTAATGTACTCAGTGACTAGGTGGTCTGGTGTGTGCCACCTATCACCCATCCGCAGATGTCATGCATGTTGCCAGAATCACGGTCTTTCAGAGGAGGATGCGATTAATGGCCCTGCACATTTCCATCAACACAAGTCCAACAGTCGTCTTTCCCACTCCGAGCTGGTTAACAACCCATCGGTAGCAGTCTGGAGTAGCCACCTTCCACAGTGCAATCGCCACACACTTTCCCAAGGACAGGGCAGCTCTCAGTCTCATGTCCTTGTGCCACAGGGCTGGGGCAAGCTCATCACTCAGTCCCATGAATGTGGCTTTCCTCATGCGAAAGTTCTGCAGCCAATGCTCGTCATCCCAGACGGGCATCACAATGTGATCCCACCACTCAGTGCTTGTTTCCTGAGCCCGAAAGCGGCGTTCCACTGTAGTCAGCAACTCCATGAATGCCACAAGCAATCTTGTGTCATAGCTGGTATGCACGGCAAGATCAACATCACACTCCTCTTGCCTTTGTAGTTTAAGGAATAGCTACACTTGCACTCGTGACTTGTCGGTCAGAGCGAGCAGCATACTGGTCAGCAGTTCGGGATCCATTCCTGCAGCCCAAAGAGGCAGGGCAGGGCATGCAGTACACAAACCGTTGAGAGGTGGTGACAAATGTGGACGGAAGCACAGGGATCGCTGGGTTGCGAAGCAATGCATCATGGGGCATTGGGACAGGACCCAGGATGCCCCGCGACCCCCTCCACTTTCCCACAAGTCTTAGCGGCAGAAGAGAAAGAGATGCTCTCTGGGATAGCTTCCCAGAGTTCACCACTCCAAATAGAGCCGCAAGTGTGAACACACTATTGCGCAGGCAACTGACAGTGTGAACACACAACAGCGGTTTCCCTTCAGCGCTCTATGAGCAGTGCTGTAACTGCCGGCACTGTAACTTTACCAGTGTAGATGTGCCCTTAGAAAAGCAGCTCATGTTGGTTTTAGCAATTGCCAGCGACGAAGTATCCACCATGACCTTTGGTAAGTTGCCCTGTGGTTAAACATTTCTACCTTCTTCCCAGTCGGAATCTGTCTAGCTTCCACTTCCAGCCACTGGATGGTGTTAGACCTTCCTCTGCTCAACTGAAGAGCCCGTTAGTAAATATTTTTTCCCCACGTGGGTACTTATAGACCAGGATCAAGTCACCCCTGAACCTGCTCTTTGTTAAGCTAAACCGCTGGAGCTGCCGGAGTCTCTCACTCTGAGGCAGATTTTTTTAAACATTTCATCATTCTCCTGCCTCCTCTCTGAGTCTTCCCTGATGGGTCAATGTCCTTCTGGAACTGCGGGCACCAGAACTGGACAGAGGATCCCAGCAGCGGTTGCACCAGGGCAGAGAGAAAATCACCTCCCTGCTCTGACTCCAGAGCCCACTGTTGATGCACCCAGGAGGGCTGCAGCATCGCACCGGGATGCTGCTTATCCAGCATCACCCCCGAATTGTGGTCAGAGTCCCTGCTGCCCAGGAGAGTGTCCCCCATCCTGTGAGTCCGGCTGACACCCTGTGTTCCTAGGTGGACATGTTGACATTTAGCCCTATTAAAACACACACTGTTTGCTTGTGCCCAGTTTACCAAGGACCCGGAGTGCTCTGTGGCAGTAACCTGGCCTCGTCATTATTTGCCACTCCCCCATCTGTGTGTCATCTGCAAACTTGATCAGGGCTGATTTTATGTTGTCTTCCAGGTCGTTAAAAATGGTGTTAATCAGCATTGGGCCAAGGACAGTTCCCTGCAGGATCCCTCTGGAAACATGCACTCACTGCTGATTCCCTGGTGACAGTTACCTCTGGAGATCTAGCAATTAGCCAGTTTTGAATCTGGGTCATGGTGATTTCGTATCCTTCTAGTTTTTTAATCAAAATGTTGTGCGGTGCCAAGTGAAACTCCCTATGGACGGCGATGGATATTACATCACCACTGTTGCCTTTAGGAACATTGTGAAAATCAGGAGGGAGGACTGGTAAGGCCCTATGTGAACATGTTATTTGTATGGCAATAGTGCTTTTGAAACCCTGGCTGAGCTCAGGGCCCCGTCGTGCTGGGCACTGCATGGATACAAACAGAGAGAGGCCCTCACCAGATGAGATTGGGGCCCCGTGTGCTGGTGTGAAGAAGTTGGGGATTTTCATAATGGTTTACATGAATGCTGCAGGTGTGCCTCAGTTTCCCTGTGTGCTGTGTGTGTAACGAGGTGCAGGGAGAGGGAGAGGAGATCAGGGCCCTGGTGTGCCGGGTGCTGCCTGGACACAGCAAGGGACAGTCCCTCACCCCAGCTGAGATCAGGTCCGTGTTATACCCGGCCCTGCCCAGAAACCAACTGTGATCGGGGCCTTCCCAGGGGAACGGCAGACGTGAAAACTGATTCTTTACTGGACACAAATAAGTCAGAGTTGTTAGTGGCCCTTTGTTAAAAAAGTAGCAGTGGCAAAAAATGACACATGAAAATCTATTTCAAGTAACAGCTTGTGAACTGGACATTTGACAGTCGGATACTTTTGGCTTTGGAGTGAACAAGTTACCTTCAATAGAACATTGTTATTAAGAAGTTCTAATCCCGTGGCACTGATTGACCTAGACAGAGACCAGGGCCCTGTTATGCCAGGTACTGCTCAGACACTCAGCGAGAGACAGGTCCTGCCCCAGCTGAGATGTGGGTTCCCTTGTGCCAGGAGCTGCACAAACACAGTGAGAAACAGTCCCTGACCCTAAGAGTTTATATTTTTATCATTTCAATTTTCAAGGTGAGGAAAGGGAGGCCAGACAGTTGCAGCAACTGGCCCAACCTCACCTACAGCAGTTTCAGTGGAGCAGGGACTAGAACCCAGGAAGCCCGAGTACCAGGCCAGCACCTTAGCCACAAGCCCATCCCTCCGCTCCTGCCAGCTGCTGCCCCTGCGCTTGAAAATCCTGTCCATCTGTGAAACGAGGGGGTGAGGACTCAGGCAGTGTAGAAGAGAGACTCTCTGTGGTTGAGAGGTCAGAGACTCTTTCCTCTGGGGGCAGTGGGGTTTGGGAAGGGGCAGGCTTTAGGACCTGGCTGCAGAGGACTCTGGGATACCTCCCCACAATTCAGTGCTCCAGCATCTCCAAGGCCTAGTTGACCCCGCTCTGAGTCCGGGGCCAAGCAGGGATTTGCACCCACGTTTCCCACGTCCTGGGCCAAACCTTTGCCCCCTTCCCCCCTCGTTATGATCCCCCAACAGCACTGGATGGGCCGGAGATGCCCAGCCTGGGCCCATGTTCTAAGGGGCTATTTCCGCCGGACCTCGGAATATTCTGTGGTGGGGGCCTCCAGAGGCTCCGCCCCTTTGCGCTGCGGCTTGGAGAAGTTGATGGAGGTGTAATACTGCTCATCTGGCTCCCCGGGGCCTAGTGGGGCCTTTGTTGCTGCAGCCCCATCCTGGATGCCTTTGGTCTGGCGGGCGGCTGGAGTCTTGTGATGCTGAGTGAGAAGCAAGGCAGAGACACCAGGCAGAGACTTGCATCCACCCTGCTGAGCTGATTGCATGGGCTGCCCCAGGCCTCCTTTCCCCCACCCTCTATGCAAAAGCATTTCCTGCATCAGGCATGCACTAGCAAGAGGCGTGGGATTGGGTGTGTTTCACACTCTGCACACATGAGCCAATCCCATGCCAGCACCAGCTCGGTTAATGCATTCACTGCCTCAGCTGTACAGGCCACGCATTAGCAAGATGCATGGGGGTATGCGCATTTCATGCACCACGCATGCAGGATTTCATCTCATCGCAGAACAGGTTCTGGAAATGTATTGACTGGATTTCATGCTCCGAGCATGCGTGAACTGCTCCCATGCATCTTGGGGCAGCACCGGTTAACTTAATGCATTCTCTGCATTACCTGCACCAGCTATCCATTAGCAAGACACATGGGGTTGTGTGCATTGTATGCACTGTGCATTCATGATTTGATCCCATGCATCTCGTGGTTGCACAGCCCCTGCTGATGCATTCATTGCATTTTCTGAAGGGTGCAACAGACACAGAGCACCCGACATGCACTGTCTGATGACAAGCACCTGATACCATAGCAGGCAGCAGCAGAAATACATTTCTTGTCCAGTTGGTGCATCCAGGCGATGCCCAGGTTTTAGCAGCATTCCAGCCCCAATCTAGTCCCGTGCACTTTGTGAATGCACGTGAATGCATTTGCTGCATGTCCTCCCCTCTGAGCGAGACCTGAGGCATGAGGTGCAATTTCTGCATGCAGGAGCCGATCCCATGCAGTTTGGGGAGCCCAGGCTAGTGGCAGGGGTGCATTTCTTGCAGGGGGTTGGGTGCCCTGGTGAAAGCCTGGCTTATATTCATGCATTTATTAAAGGGGTGGGAAAGCAGGGGGATGGAGGAGAAGAAATGGAGGGGAGCAGAGGTGGGGTGGGAAGGGCAGATGGGCTTGGTCCCCCGCTTCCCCCAGGTACATACCATGGGCATGTTGGGGACGTTACTGTAGATCAGGCTGGCCTCGTCAGCCGTGTGCTCCGCCCGGCTCCCGTTAGCCATCTCCCCAGCCTCAGCATTGGGGGGCACCGGCTCCCGGCCCCGCAGCCTGTGGGGAGAGAGATCAGGACTGACTCATTGGACAGGGGAGAGGTTAGAATAGCCCCATAGGAGGGAGAAAGGTGGCACACCAGTATGAGCGTCTAGAGTGCAGGGGACTGGGATAGGCCAGGGAGAGGGGTTGGAAGGAGATTCTTACTGGGAGGGGGCCTGCGGGGGGCTGGAAAAGCACAGGGGATAGCGCAGGAGATCTCAGTGGGGCAGCAGGGGGTCAGGGCGGGAGGCATCAGACTCACTTGATCACACAGAGCCCGAGAAGGAAGAAGCCGATAGCGACCCCCAGCCCACAGGCCACACCGATGCCCAGCTCCTCTGCACCTG